AGACTTTGTCCCAAGAGGAGAGGGGAGATGGCTACAGAGCACCAAGATGTCAGCACAGGGCTCTTGCTGCCTGAGTTGGCAGAGGCCCCCGGTGAGTGGACCACCCCTCCCGGGGTCCAGCGTATGATGCCAGGCCACCGTGAGGGAAAATGTCTGAGGGGAAGTTTTGAGTCACCCACCTGCAGCTGCTAAAGGCTTGGAAGGCTGTGAGAGAGGAGCAGAGGATGGAGACTTTCCCTCTTCTAAGTACTAAGGATCTAACCCAGGGGGGTTGTACCACTGAGCTACATCCCCAGCCCTTTTTTATTTTTTATTTTGAGACATGGTCTTGTTAAACCACTAAGTTGCCCAGCCTGGGCTCGAACTTACAATCTTCCTGCCTTAGCCTCCTGAGCACTGGGATTACAGGCTTGCACTACCACACCTGGCTGGGGAGAGGGCTTTTAGGGGACCCGCAGAGGAGCTGTTTGCACTGGGGCTTATCACCTGGGCTCCCCCTTGGTAGAGTGTCGCCAGGCCTGGATGGCACCGAGGTGCTCTGCTCGCAGTTCCGGCTTCCCTGCTGCTGCGGGTCTCAGCAGATGCGAGTCCCAGTGTGGCGTCCTTCGATGGTTGGCATCCAATGAGCAGGTGCCTCAGTCAGTGCCGACACAGTTGCCCCAGGAGCTCTTGCCTCCTCTCCTACAATTCTGCCCTCTGACTTGAGTCTCAACAGTTGTCATTGAGCACTGATGTCACTCTGTGTGTCCTCAGCTGCCCTGTGAGATAAAGGACATGGAAAATGCACTGACCCTGACCCTGATCCCAAGGAAGCTTCAGCAGAAGATGTGGAGTCCTCACAAAAAGGAAGGGGACAATGATGAGCCTGGTTTGTAAAGGACAGGAAAAGGGACTTGGATGCAGGAGCTGATTGTCCCTTCTGGCCACACTTCAGGGATGTGTCGGCCCCAACTTCCTCCCTGCCTTTGCTGCCTGCCGTGCAAGGGCCCAAGTCCACCTGCTTCGTTTGGTGGTACCCTCCCCTCCACTCAGCCTGACTCCCCTGGCAAATCAGAGTGCCATTCATGGAATCTGGGGAAGTAGAGGTAGGACTGAGCCAACAGGTCTATGTGAGGCTCAGAGATCATCCTGACTTACCAGATGGGCTCTAGGATGCTCCTCTGCTGGACGAGCCCCCACAGTTCTCAAGAGTCTCTTCCTCACGATGGAGGTACAGTGGACCCTTGGCTTACAAACTCAATTCATTGGCAGGGCTGGTTGTAACTCAAGTTTGTCAATTGAAGGCTCAGGCTCCTCTACAGAGCCTTCAAAGTCTCTCTCCTGTATAATTTTAGGCCACACTTTCTTCCAGGCAGATCTCAGTGTCCTTAGAGAGACATTGGCCTGGGATTTCTCAGTTTTCCACCCAGGAAAGGATGTTCCTTCCAGAACTCTGTATCTGAGACCATCTGGAAGCACAAGTGGCCAGCATTTGGGTCATAACTCAAGACCTTGGTCATGAGTTAAAACTAAAATTCTAATCATAAAGCAAGTTGTTTGTATGTCAGGCCAGTCATAACTCAAGGGTCCACTGTATAGCAGTCTGTTTTTCATAACTATAATGAAATACCTGAGGCTGAGAACTTTATAAAGAAAAAACCTAGAATCAGGTATGGTGGTGCACACCTATAATTAGGAGGCAGGAGGATCACCAAAAGTTTGGGCTAGGTAGTGAGTTCAAGGAACCCTAATTCTGGAGGTTCAAGGGCATGGGTGGCATCAGGATTGGCCTGGCCCTGGTGAGGACTTCCTGGCATACAGCATGGGGCAGTGCTGGGGTACATAGGAGAGAGGGGATCCCATCACCAGACAGGGACCAAGAGGCTGCAAGTGTCTGGGCTTGCTCCTTGATAAGAACCCTTTCCTGGAAAGAACTCGAAGTCTCACAGGAACTACCTCAATCCCTTCCAAGGGAGTGCCCCAGTCACCCAATGACTTCCCACTCTCAGATGGGATAGAAAACATGGCATGTGCTTCAATTTTTAAAAAGTGTGTTATAAGCCAGGAGTGGTGGCACATACTTGTAATCCCAGCACTCAGGAGGCTGAGGCATGAGGATTGCTTCAAGTTCTAGGTTAACTAGTGAATTCAAGGCAGCCTGGTCTACATAGCAAGACACTGTCTCAAGAAAAAAAAAAGTATTACAGTAACAGACACATTTCCACTCATTCCCCTCAAAAACTTCCCCTTTCTTCGAACACATTCATCCTATTGTTCTTGCCACTTTCCGAAGAAGCTCTGGAAGTCCTCTTTCCTGAGTGTCTTTAGTTGCATGACTCAATGTTCTGAATAGAGTCAAAATATTTCCCTTCATAGTCATTTTGACTTTGGGGACAAGCCACAAGTCACACAGTGCCAGATGTGGTGAATAAGGTGGGTGAGGACACACTGTTGTGTTTTATGGGGCTGAGTTTCCATTGGATGGCACTTGGCGGCGGCAGCCACTGTAGGTTTCATCACACCTTATAGAGAGACTCAGGAAAGAGGACTCCAGAGCTGCTTCAGAAAGTGGCAAAGATGATGCAATAAGTATGTTGGAAGTGCGGGGAGTGTTTTGAGGGAGATTTATGTCTTTCACTATATTTTTTAATTCTTTTGTAAACAATCACTTTTTTTTTTGGTCACACCCCATAAATTTTTTCTCTTCCAGATCCACCAACTCCTAATAACACCACACGGGGGACCCAGCTTCCCACACAGTGGCTTTTAGGGGGCAAACCATGGCAGGCAGAGACACAGGAATGACAGCATGGGGTTTGGTGAACCCGCACCCTAGAATCTCTCCTCTCAGAGACCTGTCCCCCCTACCTGTGTCTTCCCTGCCAGCTGCAGGCCACCCCTGCCCCTCCAGAGTCCTGCACTTTAACTATTTCACACTCGATGACACATGAACTACACAAGCAGGGCTCTAGGCCTTTCTTCCTTTTGTGTTTTGTTTTGTTTTTGTGGTACCAGGGATCGAACTCAGGACCTTGCATTTTCAAGGCAGGCACGGTGCCACTGAGCTAAATCCCCCACCCTCGAGACCTTTCTTTAACCTTGTAATTTTGTTTTTCTAAAAGAGGAAGGCACTGTTTTGTAGGGTTAAAAACTCCCATTTGTCCTTATGATTCATTTTGGTTGTTTGGGGGTGATGCACTCATTCATGACGACTCATTCAGGATCTGGAATGAATTAAGTGGGACTTTCTCCTGGTGACAGTAAAATGAAAGATCTTAAACGAGGGGAATGCCGGTGGGCCTAGGGGACTTCTGCCACCTTTAGGACCCAAGTCAATTCAGCAAGATTCAGCCCCAGTTCAGAAAATCCCAACAAACAACCTCAGCTCGGCTGGGGCTGGTGCTGCCTGGGACAGGACATCAGCTCCGAACTTTCTCCCAGGGTTGCCTTGTAGGTCACAGGTGTATAGTATAGCCATTAAATCCAACTGAACACATAGGGAAACCAATTCAGGAAGATACTGAGTGTCACATCAGGACTCAGATGTTCTCTGGTTTGTTCCAGGTAGCCTTCCGCACAATCCCAGAGGACAACCAGTGTTTTGTTTGTTTGTTTGTTTTTTAAAGAAAATCAGGGTTTTATTTAGCATTATATCTGAGGTTCTAATGAGAACAAAAGCAGAAATCAAAGATGGATCCCACATTCAATTTTAAGGAGGCTCAGGAAAATGAAAGCACAAAGCCTGTAAACAATCTTCAAAGAATGAAATGTCACATGTTTATAACACACACAATATATGTACTATGGGGACTTCCTAGCAAATGAAGATGGTCTCAATACAGTAACTGTAGTCTTTCTAATCTGAAGACTCCAATCCATGTTGTTTTGCTCTTTTTCTCAATTCCAACCTAAAATTCTAGGGACAAAATAAATAATCTGGAAAGATTCTGGGGGGTAAAAAGACTGAGAGGGTATGATGTCAGCCCCAAGAAACGGGTAAATTGGCCCAGTGTTCAAGAAACATAATGCTACCAAAAGCCTGGAAGCCATAGTACTTAATCTTAGATTTGGTCAAGGAGACAATCTCTTTTAGCTACAGTTTCATGATTACATAGAAAGTCAATTCTTCAGACAGTAAGAAGAGGCCAAAATAATTATTAGGATTTTTAGAAACAAAAAAAAGAGGTACCAGAGTTAATAAAATGAATCAATGACCCACCTATATGTATGCCCAAAATTAGTTCCACCCAGGCTTCCAGGATAAACAAATACAAAAATGAGAAGGTAACATACGAGAAGATATTTTTAAAACCACAGATGGCAAAAAAGGAAAAAAGAGCTTTAGCTACGTAGTAGTATTTCCTTAGAAGAGCCTTTGTTGAAAAGTAGTGTTATTATATAAGCCAGGGAAGAAATGCAGGGAGAAAACAACCTAAGGACTGGTATTACATCAGTAGAATCTATTTAGTATCTTTAATAATTCTATTATTACTAACGCCTTCCACAAAGGGGCATTATAGCTATTTAAGTTTATTGCAAACACATCTTTAAAAACCTCAGCCCTACTATTGAAGCTGTAAGCAATTTTTTTGGGTACCAGGGAATTGAACTCATGACCTTGAGCTTATGAGGCAGGCAGCAGAACCACTGAGCTAAATCCCCGGCCCCTGACAATTTTTTTGAGACAGGGTCTCACTATGTATTTCAGGCTGGCATTGAACTTATTATGTAGTCCAAGCTGGCCTCGAAGCTGCAGTGATCCTCCTGCCTCAGCCTCCCAAGTGCTGGGATTACAGGCAGGTGCCACCACACCCGGGTATAAGACAAATTTTTAACTATTGGCACTATACTATGAAGCACAATGAACATCTTAGTTAAATAAAAAAGGATAATATTTCACTGGGAGATAGAGCCAACAGATTTTTTTCTCATATCCATATCTAATAGTGCTATCTTACTGGCTACTTTTTAAAACAGATGCAAATTTTTTTAAAAACGCCAAAAGCCATGTTTTGCTCAAGAATACTATTGTTCAAATACCACGCAGGCTGTTTTACAGCAGATACTCATTTGCCAAGCTTCAGATGGCAAAATGCTAAGTTGTGAATTTGGTATTGTCCAGAGAGTTGTTTCTCCCTGCTCTGGAGACTCTGGTGGCATGGGCTGCTGAGAAGTCACCCTGCTGCCACTCTCTTCTCACAGTTGGATCCACTAGGAAGGATCATTCATGTCCTTAAGATGCAAGGCCAAGCAGAAACCCTTCCACAAATCCACTGGATATCACGATGTTCTGTTTGATAAATTCTGTTGCTTCTTCGATTACACTGTTGAGTTCAGGTGCTGCTTTATTTGCTCGTTTCTTAATCTGTCTTTCTGCTTTGTTTACATCTTTTCCAACTCTCTTCCAGTCGATCTGCACATAGCCACTATGACTGGCGATCTGTAGGAGAAGAAAGCCACCACTTACTGCTGTTGCTGTAAGTTTTCCAACTTTCTGGAACAAAAATCCTGCACACCAGCCAGTCACGCCACCCATTGCAATCTGGGTAGCTACTAAGTATTTTTCTACCATAGGTCCTGATTGGTGGCCAAACATTCGATTCCACCAGTGTTGTCTTCTTGCATACTCTGTTAAATCCAACACTTCTTTAAGAGTCGTCATTTCATATTCTTGTGGAGGGGGGGTTCTGGTACCGCAGGAGGCCAGTTCTGGGGTGGTCCCCTCCCGCCCTCCTCTCCCCTGCACTTTAAGGACCGCTCTAGGCCGAGGAAGAAGTCTATGGTTTCTTTTTTCCCTCCCTCTTTCTTTTCTTTTCCCTTCTCCTCCTTCCCCTCCTCCCAGCCGTTGTTCTGTCCCCGCCTACTTCTCTCTCTCTCTTTTTTTTTTTTTTGTACCGGGGATCAAACTCGGGTCCTTGAGCTTTCAAGGCAGGCGGCAGAACCACTGAGCTAAATCCTAGGCCCCAATTAGTGGTTTTTAAAAATTCTTTTATTGGTACATTTTAGGTATACAATACGTTTACATTTATCATTGGGTGTTTGTACCTATACATGATGTATCTTAGTTCTTATTTTTTCCCCCAATACCTGTGTGCCCTTCAGCCCCTCCATCCTTCCCTATTTACATAGATTTTGTTTCTACTTTTTTTCTTTTCTCATAATTTTTCCTTTCCCTTCTTCCCTTTCCCCTTCCCCTCCCACCACCCCTACACCTTTGGACCTTTTCCTATTTCAAATTATCAATTATTCATTTTAATCATTTTAATCCTTATTTAAACTTTCAGTTTCTCACACTAGAGAAACTATTCAGTATTTACATGTGTGTCCTATTTATTTCACTTAAGAGTATGGCCTCGATATGCATCCATTTAGCTAGAAATGACTCTAGTTTTTCATTCTTTATGGCTGAGTAGTACTCCATTTTATTTAAAAAAACCACATATTCTTTATCCAGTTTCCAGTTGATGGGCACTTGGGCTGTTTCCAAGCTTTAGCTATTACAAACTGTGCCGCTATAAATATGGGTGCACATATATCACTGTGGTACGATTCTTTTAATTCTTTGGGGAAGATACCCAGCATGGGAATAGCTGGGTCAAATGGGACCTCTAGTCCTAGTTCTTTGAGGTATCTCCATACTGATTTCCACAGTGGTTGCACCAGTCTGCACTCCCACCAGCAATGGAAAAGGGTTTCTTTCTCTCCACACCCCCACCAGCATTTGTTATTGGTTGGTTTCTTAATAGCAGCCATTCTTTCTGGGGTGAGGTGGAATCTCAGTGTTGTTTTCATTTGCATCTCTCAAATGACCAGGGATCCAACCAGTGGTTTTTAATGGAGGGTGATTTTCCATCTGGAGGGGCATTGGGCAATGTCTGTTTGGGTTACCACAACCAGGGAGGAGCAGCTGTCATTATGGAGAGGGCAGTGAGGCAGCTGGGTGTCCCACAGTGCTCGGCCAGCCCTCAGCCAAGAGAACCAAGGCTGACACACCCTGTGCTGATCCCAGCTGGCCCCAAGTCCCAAGCAACCTAAGGGCTGTCAGGCCACTAAATGACTTCATGAAAAGGCTTCCAGATATGGTGAAAACATGAAAAATCATGTCTTTTTCCAGTTTAGAAAGAGTACGTTTCTTGCCAAGATGCCGGTCTCTAAATACCATTCTCCACTGAAAGGAATCAAGGCTCCTGGGTTGAGGAAGATGTCGGAGATGGTGGAGGCTGATGACAAGGACCTGGGAGCCATCATGAAGTGGTCTTTGTGGCCCAACAGAGGACAATCTGAGCAGCAACAAGAAGCATGCAAATATATATAGTGCTAAGGAGCAAAGCCAGGACCTCATGATTGGGAGGCAAGCCTTCAGCCACTGAGCTGCACCTCAGCCCAGTGATGTAGATATGTTAAAATCCACAGCTGCAAGTTCAAAGAGGAGCAAATAATCAAAAGCTACCTCAGAGCCATGTGACTGCTAGAGGTTTCCTTTATGAAAAGAGTTCTGCTCCCATTGCTTTTTCTTTTTGGTGGTGGTGGTACTGGGGAATTAAACTCAGGGCCTTCACATTGAGCTAGCTTCATTCCTAGCTCTTGTTTTATTATTTATTTATTTATTTTGGTACCGGGGATCGAACTCGGGTCCTTGTGCTTGTGCAGCAGGCGGTGAAACCACTGAGCTAAATCCCCAGCCCTTATTTTTTATTTTGAGACAAGGTCTCACTATGTCACTGAGTTGCCCAGGCTGGGCTCAAACCTGTGATCCTCCTGCCTCAGCCTCATTCATTGCCTCTTAAATCTAGGTGGTCTCATTTTTTCTTTTGTGTCATCAATACTGGAGGGAGGGGAATTTGCATCACCTTGGTGAGCGCCTGTGTTAAGCTTGTCTGGAAAAGGAACCAGAATGAATGTGCACAGTGTCCACACTGTCACCATGGATCTAACTGTGAGATCGCAGCACAGACGGATCCTCTAAAGCTTCCCTTTAGATCTGAAACCCAACTCGGATTCATTTCAACAACAAAAAACAGCTATGGACTCATACAGTTAAGAAGTCTAGACAGCCAAGCATGGCTGTAATGCCAGCACTTCTGAGGCAGAAGGAGTTTAAGTTTGAGTCTTGCCTGGGCAACTTAGCAAGACCCTTTCTCAAAAATATAAGTTTATAAAATATAAGTTTAGACAGTGCTAGTGACAGCAAGGTCGTCAGACTAGATAGTCCACTGCTGTGACTGATCCAGGTGAGTAACTGCACTGTGTAACATCCGCCTGCATGACCACCTGCCTTTCCCGCACTGGTGAAAATGCTAAACAATGCAAACCCCTTTATTTAAGAGGGGGTGGAAGTGCATTACTTTTCCTAAGGGAAACCTCTACAGGCCACAGGGTTCATTTGTGTTGTATGCTGTGAATGTGTTGGCCAATAGAATAACAGAACAGAAAAACTGGAAATGAAAGGGAAAGCTGCTCTCCTCTCGAGCAGTTTGGGAAGGAGTGGCTGCAGTTGTGATTCTCAGTCCTGGTCATGCATCGGAATCCCCTGTGAGTCTGAACAACTCCTAATGCTGGGGCTCATTTCCAGGGATATTGGCCCAGTCGGCCCAGGGTGGGGCTGATGTTTGGCGAGCTGCACACACTTACCAGGTGGAGTGGATGAGTAGCTGGAGCTTGGAACAGGTGGCTGGATTCAGGCTGCCCTGAGCTGAGGCTCTGGACAATGGTCAGGAAGGTTGGCAGGGCCTGGTGTTCTCATAGCATTAAACGTGTATATTAGAAAAGAAGAAAGATTGCAAATCAATGCTCAGCCTCTTTTTAAAGAAATTAATAAAAGAAGAGCAAATTAAATCAAAGTAAGCAAACAAAAGAAAACAATAAAGATCAAAAAAGAAATCAGTGAAGTGGATAACAGAAGAATAATAGAGAAAAATCAATGAAACCAAACCTGGTTATTTCAGAATATCAATAAAATCGAGAAATTGTGCTAGTCAGCTTTCCATTGCTGAAACAAAATACTTGAGATAATCATTTTAAAAGGAAGAAAGATCTATTTTGGCTCATGGTTTTAGGAGTCTCAGTCCGGTCACCTGACTCCATCCACTGTCTTTGGGGCTGTGGTAAGGCAGAATGTCATGGTAGGAGCCTGAGGTGGGACAAAGCCACCCACCTGTGACAGCTGGGAAGCAAAGAGACAGAGGGGAAGGGGTGGGGCTCCACTGTCCCTGTCCAGGGCACAACTCAGCTCCAATGACTCAATTTCCTTCCACTAGGCCTAAACCACCTCCTAAAGCACCACAGGCTGATGACTAAGCCCTTAGCATATGGGCCGTCGGGGGACATTTCAGATCCAAACCATCATGAGACTAAGAGAGAAGATATTTAAGTTCAGTTATAACATACATATAGTAAAGTATACGCATCTTAGGTGCACAACTTGAAGAAATTTTTACATGCATACACACTCACAAGCACATACCCATTTCACTAGCACCCAGACACAGGAGATTTCCAACCCTTCCAGGGAGCTCACTCTTTCTATTCTCCTTGGAGCCACAGATCAGGTTATAAGCAATTGCTTGGGTTGTCCATTTGCTGCAGAAAGAATTATGTTCCCCAATACTTCCTGTGTTGAAGCCTTAGCCTTTAGTGTGGCTATATTTGGAGATAGGGTCTTTGGAAAGTAAAGTTAAATGAAGTCGTAAGGGTGGGGCCCCAATCCAATAGGATTGGTGTCCTTACAGAAAGAAAACAGAAGCCAGAGTTCTTTCTCTGGAGAACACAAGGAGAGGGCGTGTGGGAACATGGTGATGAGGTGCTGATCACCCACAGGGCCAGAGATGAGGACTCAGAGTGAGACCTATCTTTCTAGGACCTTCATCTTGGACATCCCTTCCTCTAGGGCTGGGATTTAGCTCAGTGGTACCATTGCCTGCCTTGCAAGGGCAAGGTTCTGAGTTCGATCCCCAGTACCAAAAAATAAAGAAATAAAAAATGTTCCCTTCCTCCAGGGCTGAAATAAAATGTATTTTTATTATTTAAGCCACCCATTTTATGGTATTTTGTTATAGCTGCCCAAGTAGACTGACACACTATATACACTAAGAACAAAGACAGGAGAAAGAAGTTTTCACAGAAAACCGCACTTGGGGGGTTATGTCCAACATGGAGTAGGGGCTGGCGCCAGCAGACAATACAGAGTGCAGTGGTAGAAGCCCGTCCACTGCAGGCTGTTGGACAAATTGCAAGATGTTTGATGGGTTTGGAGCTATGGTTAAACATCAGCCAACAGCCTCCCCCTCACCTGTCCCTCAGGGAGTGCTCCACTGTGTCCCAGAAATCCTCTAGGACTTTCTTTTCATTTTCCTCATGCAAATGTGAGACTGGTGATTTGACTTGTCAGGAAAAACTAATACATCGGCCCGCAGGGACCAGGCCTCTGCTGTGGCCATGACTCTACTCAGGGACAAGATGGCAGCCCCTCTACACCGAACATGGGTGCGACCTAGGCCAGAAGTTACAGCAGGAGTCTGTCCTGCTCCAGGCTCCCTTACTTTGGCATGTCCCATGTGTTGTCCCCTCATATGCTCCTGTGTCCTAGGAAGGCCCCTCTCCTTCTGGACCTGTGACTCCAAACTTGTCACTCCTTGGTCTTAATGTGCTAATGACAGAGAGCTTTTGGTTCCAGTCTCTGCAATTGCATAAAGTTCTATCTCTAAAGTGGAGCTTTTGCCTCTTTTTTGCTGCTTCACATCCCATTTTTCCTGCAGCGTTGCAGTGTTGCCTAGTCCCCCATCTGTCCCTCTCTGTGCTGCCATTGTGAAGCAGGAGAGGACTCACCCCAGAGTCAGGGTGGTGGGTCCCCAAGGCAGGGTGAGGGACACAGTCAGAGAGGGGCGTTTGGTGGGCTTCACCTCTCCCATTAAGTCTCTTCTTAAATTGGGTGATAGGGATGAGCGTATTTTCTGCTAGTCTTTATTCTCTCTTGTATGTCATATTTAAAAAGTTTTTAAATTAAAAATTAAAGTTACTGTGCATGAACATTGCAAACAGTGCTGAGCAAACCTCAGTGTGCAGAGAGAAGACTACCCCTCCCCTCCAGGCCAGATATCTCTCCCTACAGTGGAGCCAAGACACCCTGGGGGCACCTGTCAGGCTGGGCCTTTCAGTGCTGCAGCGATCTCAGGGCAGGGGGGTCCTGGCAATGCAGCCCGTGGCACAGAGTAGGAAGCTTTCGAACTTGGTGTCACCTCCGGCCTCAGAGCCACAGTCTGTTGGAAAGTACTTGGGCTCCTCAGTCTGAAAAGGAGGTCTGTGGTAGACATAGCTGGACTGGGGAAAAGGGAGATAAGCACAAGAACAAACAAAATCGCAACCCAACCCTATCCCCGGTCCTTGGGTGACCAGTGAAATATTCCACCACCATGGAAGAAGAGAGGGATGCTGGGGAGGCCAGGACCCCCCACCACACACCCTGCCCATCCTACCACATCTCCCCAGCCTGGTCTTTTCTCCTTTTCCTCACATCAGCTTCTCCAGCCCTTCTCTCAGCTCAGTCCTTGCTCCCACCCCTTCAAGCAACACCTTCCTGTGGCACAGAGTAATGAGGACCTGTAGGGTGAGTTCCTTCAACGTCCTCCTCTTGTCCCTTCCCCGCTCAGGTCCACTTGGCACCTATACTCTTTCTCCCTGTCTAAGGTCATTGTCTCCCTGAGCTCTGGATCCCATCCACTCTTACTGATCTGGAACCACAGAATTCACCAGCTTTCCTGTTGCTGGGACACAATACTCAATACCCAGAACTTCAAGGAGAAGAGGTTTAATTTGCCTTTCAGAGGGCTCATTCCAGTTATCTGGCTTCAAGGTAGGAGCATCATGGCAGAAGGGCCTGCTGGACCAAAGCTTCTCAGTTCACGGTGGCCGGGAAGCACAGAGCAGGGGAACAGTGCCAGAGAGGAACGAGTGAGGGACCAGATAAAGTACCCAAGATCCCGTCTCCATGACCCGGCCAGACACACCCAGGAGTGTGCTTTATTAATCTTCTAGGCAGCTCCCAAGCCAACCAAGTTAACACAATCAAGCTTGACCATGCCTCCCCTACTGTCTTTAGTGCTGTCCTTCCCACAGCATTCAAATATGCTCAAGTCTTTCCTGTCCAAAGGACCCCCCACCCCCTACCTTCGGCTCCATGTCCAGCTGCACTGACCTTCAACCTTTGCCGCTTTGGAATAGGAAGGAGCCTCCTTCTAGACACTCAGCAC